TAAAACGATATTATCATCAAATTTATATACATAATAATAATCTCCAGTGTTGTTTAAATAAGCTCGAGCCGATCTATTTTCCTCATTGTTGCCATGTTATTTGAAAAAATATATCATAAAGTACAATAGCTTATGTAAAAAAAAAAGAGAGAAAAAAAAGTGTAAGCCCTTGACAAGACCCCACTGAAATCTAGTAAGCAATGATTTAAATTGCTAATACCGCGAAAAAGATAAAAACAAGGCACGAGAGCGTATTTGAAATTTGTAGAATTGTAAATTACAGAAAAGTACGAAGAGGACGCGGGCCGAATGAAAAAGTAAGTTTGAACGGCGAGAGGGAGCTTAACTTGTCAAACAAGCCAACTTCTTCGGACACGACTATTCGTTCCCAGCAACGGCAACGACTGCGAGGTTGACGGGAGACGCGCAAATCTTGTTTACATGTTGCCGGTTTACGCCAGCTGTACGTAAGAAGGACTTTGCTCACTGAGAATAAGTTCGATCGGAAACTTGGCGAGGTTTCGCTCGGATACAAGAGCAAACCAGCAAAAAAAAAAAGTGCCATAAGAGTCGCGGGACCGGTCGCGCGCGACATTTTCGTATGGAGTAGGAGGCACTGTACGACGACGTATGCGTGCATTGCATGCCCAACACACACAGAGAGAGAGAGAGAGAGAGAGAGAGAGAGAGAGAGAGAGAGAGAGAGAGAGGATCTTTTGCAGCGTCAACGCCGTGAGAGCGCAACGTGACTTGTTTGTTTCATCGCAGCAATGTCGGAGATCTTGACAGAACGCCACTGGGATTCTACGGTTATATCTTGAAACGGCGGGCAGTTGTGTATATCTTTTATGCCGTGCACTTTAGCCAACTAAGACAATCATTTGCAAACGAACCTGACCAACTAGTTTACAAATTGAAAAATTTGCGACCGCGTGACTATGCCCCCCAATTGTCGCGCGTGAATTGCCTCTTCACGAACGATTAATAATTACTTTTGCAATAGGGAATGGAATAGTGAAAATATATTCGTACAATACTTGCTCGAGTATTCAATAATTTGGCACGCTCCGGATAGTAAGAACCTAAAATGGTGAAACGAGTCAAACGAGTCCACGTTTCTTTCACAGACAAAAATTATTGCTATCATCAGGTGCTTAAATGCATTATCGTTGATTTATCGATACATTAATAGCCAGCCATTGCACCTTACTGCTCTTTAATTTATAACAAAATTAATATCTTCTATCGACCCACTACATACAATCTAGTTATATCCTAATACTCTTGTTTTATTAATTAAAAACCATATTATACAATTGTGGAGACGCAGAGTATATAAATGTAGATCTCTGATTTTGTAATAAGATAAACTTGGCTTTGTTTAAACACCCGTCGCGATCTTAAAAATCTTATAATAAACAATGAGTCTTATAAACTACTGCTTATTTGTATTTCACAATTATTAACATACGTTAATTAAGAATGAATCACTGGATTTCATTGCTCTTATATTTTGTATTTAGTTGGCATAATCGCCAATGTTTTAAAATTATCGATAAAACTGAACTATTTAAACGGTAGTAGCCAATGCACACTTATTAAGCCCATACGTTGCTTAATATTAAACGTTAAATTACTTCCCTTTGCTTTCAATATAATCGAATAAAGCTATATAATAGTGTCACACACTACCCACGCATTTTTACTCATAATCCCTTTAAACCAAAAACGAATAATTTTTACGTTATTTCAATGAAAATAATGTTAATAAATAATAATACTGCCTTGTTCGCTATTGAATGCCAATGTGGTATGTAGAAATTATTGTTCCATTGCAAATTGAGGTTTCAAGCTTTTACAACGTCAGCCTCTTGACCCTACACATTCCATATTCAGCACATTATGTAATTCTTTCAGCATAAAAGCGTCATCGAAAATGTTACTTAAACATTAACGTTCTATTAGAAACATTATAACGTTAAATAATTCTTTTCATTTGATTCAACGTTGCCATTGTACGTTATTCGTTGTACGTTAGATACCAATAGCTCTAACGTTTAATACGTTTTAAAAATATTAAATAATAATGTATGCCATTTTTTTAAGACCTTATGTTACTTATATAAGCATACGTTACTTTTATTCGACGTCTTACAATGTTTGCAATTAGAATAGCTTACCTTCCGATTGTAAACTATAAAATAATAAATAAAAATGATTTTAGAAGGTACAATAAAATTATCATAATTACAAAATAATTTTGGTATGAATTGTTCAAAACATCTACTAACTTGCTTTATTAATTTATTAATTTATGGATTTTCAACAACAAATGAAGATTCGTAACCTGACATTAACAAATATAATACGACTCTTATATTATATAATTATTCATATTCTAATGAAATAGAAAATGTGATTATTAGAATATATTGAAATGTAAATTATGTAAATTGTGAAAATTGTACCATTGTCACATAATTTACAATTAAAAATATATATTTAATTTCGGAAGGGGACCAAATGATTTTATCACTTTTTTCCAATATATTTATTGCCGAAATCAAACATTTGTGAATATAGAAATAGCATATTTAACAATTCCGGAAAATACTTTATAATTTTAACTGTGAAATTTAAGCATCTGGAATTTCAACCTACTTTTTAATATACTCAGAAATTCCACGATACTGGCTTAGAAAAATCCGTTACGAATGCCGTTAAAAGTTGCGAGCCTGTAGCGAAAGCTAACTTGTACGAAGTTCTGATGTGAATAAGAGCACACAAACAGATAAATATATTTTTGATTTAAGCAACAATGTATTAATTTATCTCAATAATAAAGTACAATGATATTGAAAATATTCATGTAGAATTTACAAGGAAAGAAGAATTACAAGGCTGTAAATATTAATGCCATCTACTTACAACGCAATCATAATAATTTAATTTTGCCGCAAATTTTCTGCATAGAAATGTAGTCTTGCAAAATTTCATATTTACCTCTTTATGCAATCCTACGTAATTTTATAAAGTTCGCATTTTATATAAGTCAATTAATATGATCTACTGTACAAATATTGCATATAAAGTAAAAATATTTTTTTAATAAATACTACGCTTTCTGTGTTTTTATATATATATATATATATATATATATATATATATATATGAAATATAATTTATTGCATTAGATATTTTTATTTATTGCTTAAATATGACATTTTTTATAACTAAATGATTACTTTTCTATAATTACATGACCATTTTTAATATTCTTCAATATTCTTTTATGCGTACAAGTTAAACGTGAAAAACAACATATATTGTGTATGTGGTTGTTCGTAAGATAGATTTTGCCATTATAAACATTATATTTACGTATTCGAATAATTATATAACTATTATTTCATTATTGTATATTAATTGATTACTATGAATTTCTAAGATTTCGCTTTTCATTTAGATCACAATCAATATACAAAGATTAATTGAATTAATCGATGAATTTTAATGGTTTTCAACTTGCACTAAAAAAATCGATGGTATTGTTTTTATTATTATTATTATTATTATTATTATTATTATTATTATTATTATTCAATATTCATAAATATTTATAAAATTCAACAGATAAGAAAGAGTATATTTATTATATATTTTTTACAAAACCAAATGAATTTTCTTCGTTACACTCGTAATTTTTTAATTAATATATGCTATGGTAGTTTTATCATACAGAAATTCTTTTCATTTATTCGTAATGGATTTGCTTTAAATAGCGAATAAAGCATCAAATAAAGTGATACAATCGATTAAGGTTCTTCCGTTTGGACTTTTAATTTCTTAAAAATTTATATATCTTGATGAAAAATTCGTTAATTACCGTCAGTTTAATTTCTGTAGGCATTCCGAGTGGAAAAATCAACGGAACGCCTTCAGTTTTATATAAGATGATTATTTGAACATATTATCATTTGTCAATCAAGTTCATAAGACGATCATCATAACTTTGTGCAATACCAGATGTTGCCAATTTCACCCTACTGGCACTTAAAAATTGTATAAATATTTCAGATTACTTTTAAATGTCGCTAGCAAATAAAACGATAAATAAATTGTCTTTGGTAGTTGGGATGATAATATTAATGGAATCGATTTTTCAAAGTGCGCTTCGACTTTCTCCTACGTCGAAAATCACGCATACATTAAATAGGCTTAAAACTATAGGGAAAACACGTCTTCAAACGTTTGTCTCCTAAGAGAAAAAATTTTCTCCGTCGGCTCGTACTACGCACAAAATAAAAAAGTTGGTAAAAGAAAAAGTATGAGCGCTCTCTATAGCTACATATTTGGCGGTGCTCGAAGATGCTCGAAGGTGTTCGAAGGTGCTCGAACGCAAGTAAATCTTGCTCGTTGAGTCGCATTGTTCGAGCGAATTGTATACGCGCGTAGACAAATACTTTGGAAAAGGCAGGTTAATACGGATTGGCCAGGAAGATGCTGAGACGTAAGTAAACGCATATAATATAATATTAGGCGAGCGTCGTTTAAGCTTTACGATATAGGCCGCAGGTGCTTATAGTACAACTGGCGCTCTTTTGTAACCTTTGGATTTAACAGAGGAAAATGGCGATCAAGGACGCATTCCGTTATTCTCGCGCAAATCTCAGGGGCGAACCAAAATAAAACGGCGCGGGCCTCGTTCGAGCACACGTGCGCAAAGTCGCTGGATGACGGATAGGTGGGGCGCGCAAAGTAATGCGCTCCTACCTTTGCTACAGCGATAATCATCATAATATTCCGGATTTGGTAAAGGGAAGTGACTTGTAATCCTGAAGAATGGAGAGCGCCGACAAGTTGCCTTGTTTAGAGCGCTCGTTCGATCTCGGGTCGAGTAATATCCACGCGTGGAAAACCAGCCATCAAATCGACTAGTGGTGTGCGTGTGCGCGCGTGTGCGTGGGCATAAGGAGTCGTGGCGAAGAAATAAAACTCACTTTGTTCTGCAGAGCGTCGATGAGTACGTAGACAAGCAGCGTGATCTCTTCCTCGTCTGTACCGAGGGAGTTACCCTGGAGGCCGGCGGTGGCCACGTAAAGGGCCACTAAGTGCGTCGGTCCCATCATGCCTCCGGTCACTTGCATTTCGTCCTGCTTGACCGCTGCCTCTCCTGGCCGTTCGATGCGGAGATCGGCTGCCGCGATCGCAAGGAAAACAAAAACACTTGACGTACGTCTGCAGCCGGCCTCTCTACGGCTCTCTCCCAACAAACAACAATAACAAGGAACAACAAACCAACAACCAACAGCAATAAAACAGATAAAACAATCACACTTGTCACAATGCCGCTGCTCGCACTGCTTCACGTGAGTTATTCGGACTCTCGGGCTCTTCAGCCCCGTCCTATCATTTTCCCGGTCGTGAATACTAACGAACGATTTATCTCGTGGCTCTCAGTAACGCGGAGAGCCGCTGCTGCTGCCGCTGCCGCTCTTCAGTTAGAGCAGGTAAGACTCGCGGCGGCCTTTGAGGTTATGATCATCGTTGTGCGCGCATCGTTGTAGTTCGTGCGCGCGCGCGCGTATCTCTCCCTCTCACTCTCTCTTTCACTCTTGTCGCCTGTAGCAGTGGTTCGAACTCCTCTCCTCCGTGCACCTGGTGCTTGCTGCACGCACGACCGCACCAATGAAACACCGGAACTTCTCGTTGTGCGACAAGTTCTTGTCGTCGGTGTCGTTGTGTCGTCGTGTCGTCGTCGTCGTCGTCGTCGTCGTCGTCGTCGTCGTCGTCGTCGTCGTCGTCGTCGTCGTCGTCGTCGTCGTCGTCGTCGTCGTCGTCGTCGTCGTCGTCGGCGTTGTCGGCGTTGTCGGCGTCGACCTTTTTGTCGTTGTCGTCGCCGTCGCCGTCGTGGTCGTCGTCGTCGCCGCCGCCGCGGTGCTGATCGACTACACGTGCGTTATATTCCGCCGTGTGCGCGATAATATGCGCCGCGTACCCGTGGCGTTAAATCCAGCCGCGTCTATAGTCCAAGTCGTGCAGCGCGCGCATGCGAACGTGTACGCACGACTAATGTCCCCCTCCCAAGTACGGCGATGTCAGGGAAAAAGACACGGGAGACGAGTGAGCGAGAGGGTTGACCGAGAGTCAAAGTGGAAGAGAGAGGAGAGAAAGAGAGAGAGGGAGAGAAACAGATATATGTATATATAGATAGATAGAGAGAAAGAGAAACATCGAGCGACTAAGCGAGCGAGTGAGGGGGGGGGCAGTTGTGGAAGGGGAAGAGAGAGAGAGAGAGAGAGCGGCAGTGGCAGTGGCAGAGGTAGAGGTAGAGGTAGACGTAGAAAGATAAAGACAGACAGAGACAGAGAGGAGAGAGAGAGAGAGAGAGAGAGAGAGAGAGAGAGAGAGGGAACGGGGCCCCGGCGCGTTCTCCTTGCTCTGTGCTCACCTGGCGACTGCGCACCGTCGACTGTCTATGTTCTCCTTCCTTCTTCCTTGCCGTCACTCGCTACGCTACGCGCTCACGAGCTCACAAGCTCCTTGGGGAAAAGACGACCGACTACGTATACATGTACTTACATCCCCGTCCCCTCCACACCATTTATCAACCCTATTGCTCTTACTCTCTCTCTCTCTCTCTCTCTCTCTCTCTCTCTTTCACTTCCGTCTCGTACCTCGGTCTCTCTCTCTTCCTCGCTCCTTTACCTGCACTTAGCGCCTCGCGCCTACGCTGCCTACCGCTATCTCTCTCGCTCGTTCCCCGATGACTGCCACCGCCACGGCTACTAACACCGCCGGCATTTTCGCCGCCACCACCGCCGCCGCTCTTTCGATAAACGAAAGCTACGACGGGCGTGTAGATAGACTTTTCGTTCCTGACGATATTTTGCCCTTCTTAATTGACACGTCGCCCGGCTCATATTATTAAACGCCATCTCTGTCGCTGTTGTGCGCGATTGCGGTAAGCGCCGCGCGCTAAAATGGTCGCCGAGTTCCATGTCCTCTTCGGTTCAGGCTTTCCCTTACTACCCCCCTCGCCAGCTTCTCCCTCTCACTCTCTCACTTGCCCTCTCACTCCGTACTCTCTCTCTCTCTCTCTCTCTCTCTCTCTTACTCTCTCTCACCCCCTTACTCTCTCACTTTCTCTCTCTCTCTCTCTCTCACACACACACACACACACTCCTCACTATCTTACTCTCTCACTCACTCCTTACTCTCTCGTCGTCGGGGCTTTCGCATTAGCTCTATCTCTGTGTCTATCTCTGTTGCTGATTGACTCGGGAGTGAAGGTACGTACACCAGCGAGTATTACGGTATTCCGTTGGCCCGATTTTAAGTCCGAGTATGCTCCAGCTCCTACGGTACCTGTGTGTGTCATGTCGTAGGTCGAATTGGCAAGCGATGACGTATATGTGACACCGCGCATACGTAACGGGGGACGTTGGACCGTAATGAGCGCCACGTACGTTCGTCCTGACTGCCTTAATGTCGAGCGATGCTATTACTTTACTTTTATTACATACTCCATGGACCGTTTTAAGGGAAAATAATTTGTAAATGACAGTTGATAGCCAAGATGCAATACGATGATTTGGGTACCACCGGAGATGCAGGTCATAATTCTATTGTTTATTTTTCCAGCTCAATGATAATAAGTACGTTGGAAGAAACAAAAATTTCAGCAGCAGCAGCAGCAGCAGCAGCAACAGCAACAGCAGCAGTAACAGTGGAGATTAAGAGCGAGAAAGATACGACTCTATATAATCAGGATTGTCAAGGAAAGTAAATAAAGTAAGGGCCATTTCATTCGATTGTGAAGTCGTGTATGTCATTAGTAGTAAGGTCGTTTTTTGGTGTCTTTTCGGCTCGTCGTAGACTCCCGAACTCTTCAAGGATATATAATAGATGACCGGTGGTTAACATTCAGTTTCCGTCGAGTCGCAAACCTTATGCAAATGGCACTTAATATACAGCGCGGAATTCTCCGGATTTACGTAAGGAGCGTAATATTGACGCTCGATCATTTGGTCGGATATTACATATCGTTTGTTCGTCGCGTTTCGTCCCGTCCGATTTAATCGGACTTTTAAATACCATCGGCGATTGCGTTTATTTACTCTGGTGCATGCGACCGCATTTTTCGTAAGGCGAGAAACAGCGAAGGGGCGACGATATGGTATATGCTAACCTGGTTCACGGAAATGGGGGCGCGGCCGCTAAACTGCAGGTGGGGGCGTAAATCAGACCGCTATATTAGAAGGCGAGGCTTGGGCGATAATAGCGAGGTTCGACGAGGGAATTGTATTTTTTGTGCGCTCGCTGTGAGAAAGTGGACGACGAGGAAAAGGAGGAGGCGACTTTATTAAGGTGGCAAGGACACGAGGAGAGGCACTATCGCGGAATTCGGATGTTGAGGTCGTTGCCGGCAGGAGCGTCGATGAAAATGCCCGAGCTCTCTCCCTCTCTCTTTCTCCCACTTTCCCCTCCCGACAACTCTTCCACCCCCCCCTCCCGCCCTCGCTCATTCACTCGCTTGCACTCTCTCTCTCTCTCTCTCTCTCTCTCTCACGCGCGCACTCGCGGTGTCGACGATGTGATTGGGAGGGTGGTGGCATGCGAGAGAGAGAGAGAGAGAGAGAGGGCATGAGAGATAGAGAGAAAAGAAATACAGCACGGCTAACCGATGAAGGGAAAGGTTCGCTCGGGTCGGAGCAAAGTCCGAGCGTCCTCGGAGCTCTTGGAAACACGGCGCCCAGGTGCATTGCGGAGTCTCCCCCACCCTTCATCGCGTGCTTCTTACGCTTCATCTTCCTGATCCGTCCTCAGCTTGAGTTGAAGTCGCTCAAGTGTGGTAAGGAGTTCCAAATGGCCCAAAGAACAATGGGCTTCGGCTTTGCATTGCACGATAACCGGGAAATCCGACGATTTTCCCGGAGATTTTGCCGGTGCTGCGACATGGCACATTACCAGGTCGCTGATACAGCGGCGGCTCGTGTATTATTTCGATCGAGCCCATAACTCCAGTCACGATGATCTCAGGGACGATTAATCCCCGTCAATTATTACGCGCAGTGCGCGGGCGCGTGCGCATAAATTGCGAGGCGCAAGGTGCAGAGCCGAGCACCGCGCTACGCTTATCGCAATTTACTTTCCTCCTTCGCGTATTTACGACTGAGCTCGATCAACGACATCCTCCCGACACTTTATTTTTATTAAATATTTACTCGATCGGAGCTCGACAGCGGCTAGTGCAACGGAAGGTCACCGAGATAATAAAGCCTAATAAACCATAAAATTGTCAACACAATGACAAAGTACGGGAGTATACGTCAAGCTCCGCGATACATTATTGGCGCATTTCTGCAAGAGTGTTGCTCGTTAAACATTCCATTGAGTGGGATAACGCTTTCGCTCAGTACTCTCGTTTCTCGTGGTATTATCCTTCAGTGCAGCGCACACGTTAAATTTTCAATCCTGCCTAATTTGCTAAATAATCGACTAATGACACGAATGGCGCGGTGAATCGTGGGATCACACGCGCACGAGATACCGACATTTTTATTAAAATTAAATACCGTTTGATGTTGATTGGATGGCTGTTTGAAAGTAAAAAGTAGGCGCGTTAAAAGTACTTTCTTTCACTCGTGTTCACTCGTATCGATTTGTCAAGTATCTCGTGCATTGCTTAAAGCGATCCCATTAAGGATTAAGGATTAAGGATTAATAATGATTGGGAATGAAAAAAACGAGTCGTACCGCGGAAGTTTAAAAAATTATCAGAACGTATCGTAGTCAAACTCTAGTCAGACTCGCTCAGGGGCCAGTGACGCCATCCAAAAAAAAAAAAAAAGGAAATAAAAGGGGGATGGGGTAGATATGTTTGAAAAATAAACGATCGCCTCTCGACGGTTGTCGAGCAACGGCTATTCCCCCTAAATCATCGCCCACGCTCTCGCAAAAGCACGGCGTTCGGCCGGGCTGAATATTTTAGATATAGGCCCGCATGGAGGTGGCGGTGGCGGTGGCGGTGACGGTGGCGGTGGTGATGGTGATGGTGATGGCGGTGGCAGTGGCAAGTTCCGGCAAACCGTCGACGTGCTCACCTCGATGCCGTGCTCGGCGACCAAGTACATCCTCGGATACGTCCAACGACGATGCGCATTCCGCTCCTCCTGCCCGGCGCCGTCGCATTACGTAAGGCAGGTCGAGGCCCGAGGGCCACCTGCGCGGGTCGCAGCCCGGTTACCGGCATTTTACTTTTACGAGCAGCTCGTAATTTTCGTCGAGCATCGGCAACGTCTATTATTTTGTCGCTCCCGGATGCTCGGACTTCCGATGGCATGTGACGGCGATCGGAGCTGCGAGGCTGATTTCTTTCTCCTTAGC